CAAAAATAATTTCTACCATACAATTCCTTTGAATGTATTTATTTGATCATTTTAGATAAGTATTTGAAACAAAATTTAATTTAACAAAATTGTGACATCCCTATCATACGTATTTTTTTCCCTTTATCATTCTCTATTACTGTTAATTTAGTAAAAGGTAAGTTATTAAAACTAAAAGTAAGTTATTTACTGTTGATGTAGGTTTGGATCTCCCATGTTACCAGTATCTTTATCTAATAAAAGAGGGATTATGTTTCTTAGCTTAACATTTACCGGTCTTTTTATCCGGAGATTTTTGTTTGGCTTGTATTCTTACCCCCCCCCCCCTTTAAAAAAATTTAAAATCGACAGTTCATCGAAGGCTGGCTATCGGGGTACATCAGTGTAATTAACTATGGATTAAAATTAAAATGAATAAATACATTCTGTATGTTTTACATTATTACATTATGGTAAAACATATATTTTCAGGGAAAAAGTAGCTCTTATAAAAACGGTAATTACTATATGTGCATAGACCTCTCGCTCGCTCTTCTCTCTCTCTCTCTCTCTCTCTCTCTCTCTCTCTGACAAAAATATACTAGTCTAGTACATGGAATATACCTTTGATATTGAGACTTCTTAACATGAATTCAAATTAAAGTATTTGTAAATTGCCCAGAAAACAAAAAAAAAAAACAGCATCTTCAATTTCGTAATGCATAGATATCGTTTTAATCGCTGTTCCAGAGCTAGCAATTTGTGCATGTCCAATGTCCCGTATATCAGCATCAAGTTAAATATTTAAACAAAATTATGAATAAATTTACGTACTAAATTGTAATCATATCATATACCTATTAAAAAAATGTCCGCATCAAGCTTCAAATTTTTGTTACACTTTGAAATTCAATTTTATTTCTTGTTTACAAAATGCAGTCAACAAAAATTACTTCCGTGTTTTCAATACCGCGACTTTGACGTTGTTTTCTGAGCATTGTGTAGCATATAAAGTAAAATATACCTTGTCTTACCTTACAGCATAACAGATCCCACAATATCTAATCTTCAATTCATAGTTGTGATTTTTCTCTCTTCAAACTTAAATTTTCCTACTAATTAATGAATTATCAATAAGATGATGATGATGATGATGATGATGATGATGATGATAGTTTCATACAGTCAAATACATCTCTATAAATACTTTTAAACTAATAAGCCTAGATACAAATCAGATTACATTGTAAACTACAGACAGACCTAAGTCAATTCCTAATTAAGCCAAATTTTTAAAAATTATTAAAAAAAAATAAAAAATAATCTACATGACTTTAATCTGTAAGATGTGCTTTTTTTTTTTTTATGCAATCTTCAATGAATACATGTGAAGTCATAAAGAAATAAATTATTTAACTTAAAGCCTTACTTCCCTCTTTGCTCTTATTGCCTGATGTTTTTTAACTGTTGGTGATGGTCCTCTAGAATTGATCCGAAATTACAAAGTTGCCACTTTGAAATTAATCACAGAAATATTCATGTAACTTCACTTGAATCCAAAGAAAAGGTAGATAACCACTAAATAAAATCTTATACTTCTGAAACATATTGAAAAAATATTTAGACAACTATTACAAAACTGCAATGTTTGTTAAATTTTGATACAAAATAATGAAATGTTATTGCACAAGGAAATGATTAAATGATGAAGTGTTTTAAAGTATTTATGATGTAATAGTCATTACGTTCATGTAATTCACGTTAGAATAGACTATAATAGAATATATTAATAATGATATCGTAAATAATATTTGATAATTGTATGTTTATCTTAAATGTAATTACCATTATAAGTGTACGTAATTCACTTTAGAATAGAATGTTATGAATAGATATAATGACATAATTCATAATAATTATAACAGATTATTGCAGGCACTATAATGTCTTTATATGTATCATAATTTCATAGTTAATAAAGCAAATGACCTTTAGCAAAACTATGACAAGTTTTAACTGAAGTTTCCCATTCATTTTGCCATATATATTGTAATTTGAATTTCATTAAGAAAAATCAGCTGGTCTCCTTAATTTTTAAAATCTATTTATAATTCAACTTTGAAAAACAGAATGCGTAAAACATGTGTTATACCTCTTCAGCATTTAATCTGGTAGTATAAACAGCTTAAATTAGATAGGCGACAAAACGCCAAAATTTGTTTTCAAACCGGGAAATAAAATGACGTTGTAATATAAAATAGAAATCGACAGACAGTAGACACTATTTTTATGCACACTTTCTACAACCGAAGTTTTAGTTTTGGCCTGTGACTTTAAATATATATATACTTTACTATCAATTTCTGCTAAACCTGATGGAAGTGTTTTTAACACATTCTAGAGTACAGTTGAGTATTATATTTCCTTTCAGGAAACCATGACGCAAAATGAAGGACCTAAAACTGTAAAAATGTTTATAAACATTAAATCTCATCTCAAGATCTATCTCTAAATTTTAACGTCATTTTACTTCCGGATTTGAAAACAGATAATGACATTTTCTTGTCTCTTACCTATTTAAAACTGTTTATACATTGTTTATAGAATAAATACTAAAAAAGTACTGTATAGAGTGTTATTTTTGCCCGGCTTTATTTTCGCTCTTTCACACTTGCAAACAATTTTGACCCGTCTTATATTTGCCCGATCACAGTTTTGTTTAAGATATTATACTATATTATTTGAATTCGTCCCGTTAAAAACTTGCCCAACCAAGGCTAGGGCGAAAGGGGCGGAAATAATACGGGTTAAAAAATTTCCCTGTATACAGTATAAATTTGAAGGAAAAAGAAATATGACATACTCGTACATATCTAATAATATTTTAGAATGAAATGTATCGTTGTTTTGGATTCATATTGTATTTTTTTCACATCATTTTAAACTACTAGTATCACATGATAAAGTTAAAAATAACAGTGATCTATATAAAAAAGAAACCTACTGACAAAGCAGGACATAAAACACAAACCCTGGGAATTAAACAGGTTGGCTCTTTGCTTTTGGTGAAGTACACATCTCATGAAAAAACTGTCTTACCAGCTGTAAGCCAAATGTATTGATCAAGTTAACGGAATAATTTATTGTTATATTTCATATATGGCGCGTGTGACCAGTCGGCAGAGGATGCTCACTCCTCCATAGCACCTGATCCCACCTCTGATGTTTTGAAAGCGTGTGTTTGCTCTGCTCCTGTTTTGTATTGTTTCATGGTCTTTTGATCTTGAATACTTGTTGTTATCTCCATATGTTTCATATAACATCGATGGTCTAACAGTGGAAGTAAACTAATGCAAGAAAATACACTGTATGACAAACACAAGTCAGAAAAAAGATAACACCAATAAAAGGTTTGATTACCAAAACAAGGTTTTATTAACGATTGGAGAATTTTCCAAATGCTGGCTTTATTGAAAGTTGTTGAAATCCCTGTGACATCAATTATTTGTCAACAGCCTGTCTTAAAACGTGCTCAGAGAGAATTTTCCTGTGGTTGTAATTATTTGGAATACACAAGTTCCATTTGTAGATGTAATGGAATGTCTCTACAATAAAGAAGAAAAAAAGTTGACAAGTGTCTTTTCGTTCTTCATTCAGTATGTTTCATGCTGGCCATTTTGTCTGTAGTCAGGTAAACATCTAAGTATGAAACACAAGTTCAAGATACTATTTAACCCTTCTTTCCTGTTAACAGACGTATATCAAAAGAAAAATGAATCGTAGTAAGGAGAAGGATATGGAGTTAACGAACAGTATTCAATCTCAAAGTCCATAAAACAATACAAAATAAGAGCAGAGCAAACACGAAACATCAGAGGTGGGATCAGGTGCCATGGAGGAGTGAGCATCCCCTGCCGACCAGTCACACCTGCCGTGTGCTCCTTGTCATGATCAGGAAATAACGGAAAAATCCGTCGTCAATTTAGTGTATAAATAATGTTAATAATAAAAAATAGTAATTATTGCTTATTGATAAAATGTCACCGATATGTTAAATGAAACCATAGCAAAATTTTCTTCATTGGAAAGCATGGTTGTATAGATAGTAAAAAAATATTATATTAAATGTTACTGAATTTTGGAAAAAAAATATGACATTGAACTTTTCATAAAGTATTTTTTTAGTTTTCGGAATCCATGTTTAATGTTTACCACTTCTTGAATATTCATTAGTACAGTACTTCAGAGGTTAGAATTCACATATCGCCTTATATTATCCTCGATCAACAGAATTCAATGATAAAGAAATGAATTTCCGTTTAAAAATTATTCTTCCTAAAAGTCATTGATTTTACCTCTAGAATATTCATGAGTCATCGTTTAATTTGTGTTTTATTTCAATCATATTCTAATCAATATCCGTTTTGGAATTTTCCTCTTTTATTTATATTAATAGTATAATCACATGCATGTATATGTACTTCTCAGAGATACCGGTATGTTGTAGATTTGAAAACATACATAAAACATATGGAGAAAACGAACAATGTTCAAGATCAATTGTCCCCCCCAGAAATTAAACAAAAACAAAATAGGAGCAGATCAAAACATTAACCCCCCAAAGGAGGGGTCAGGTACAATGGAGGATTAAGCAACCCCTGCTGACCGGTCAAATCCGATGTGTGCTTCAAGTCATGATCGGGAAATTCCATCGTCAATTCATATATCTCTCTTCATGCCGTAGTACGATACGTCAATAAGGAGAAACACTCCAGTATTTAATGACCATTACAATCCAGGCCCACTTATCTTCTCACTTCATCACATCAAGTGTTTTATAATCAGTTCTCAGGCGGCTTAATGTTAACAACAATAAAATACAAGAACAATTATCAATTGCAGTTTGTTTGTTGCAGAGTTTTTGATGGTTTTGTTTTTACAATTTCTGAGTTTTAATTTTAGTATTATATTGACGAATGTCGTTTGTGCCAAATGCCTATTTTTCTATTCTTATTTGTAGCCTGTAGGTTAACTTTCTAAACATGTTTGAAGACATATTTAGAATTTAGAGATCAGGTGAGTACCCCTCGCCCATATACAACCTCCTGAAATCTAGGATATTCCCCCAATCTCTTTAGATTACGTAAAACGAATGTTTTAAAAATAAGTGTTTGACCATTTCTCGTGACATCACTGACAACACGCCGGGAATGTATCATTGGATAGGAAATTTTAACTTTATAGAAAACAAACAACTTCCTCCTATCGTTTTCCAAACATAGTCAATTTTTGACGAGATGGAGGTATCCAGACTGTTAGTTGCCACGGCGTTTTTTGCGGCATGTATCGTTGGAATAGCAGCACAAACTGGTCCAAAGTAAGTTTTTGTTTCAAAATCTTTTCTTCTTATTTTTATATCATATGTCTGTGAAACGTTCAAAACTAGGACAGTAACATATGTTTAAGTCTTTCCGTTTAAGAAAGGCATGGGATAAAGTCTCCTTTTGAAATTTCTTTCTGTTCTTTACCTTTTCTGTGATGTGAGAAAATTAGTTTGGATCATGCAGTAAAACCTGAAACTTAGGACTTGTCATGCTCCGCTTGTTTTTGCATGTCCCCATTTGTTAGATAGAGGAATAAATGACAGTATCGTACGTTAGATGTATCTAAGAGAGGGTATATATTTTTGTCAATTGTCTTCAAAGATTCTTTTATAAATGAATCTAAAAAAATGATGACTAAAAATTTATTGCCTTTTATGTCTAAGTGTTGACACAAGCATAAATTTCCATTGAGGAAAATTTACATGAATTTGCGTTGATAGGAAAATATACATGTTTATATCATATTATGTCATTCAAGGCATACACGATTTTGGATGGGAATTCACATTTGAATTGCCTCATGAATTATCATAAACATGTAACACGTGAAAATCTAATAAAATCTCCATTATCATTATGATTGTCGGAGATAAAGAGAAGTAAAATACTTGATCTTAGGACTTGACATGCCCCGCTTGTTGTTGCATATCCCCATTTGTTAGATAGAGGAATAAATGACAGTATCTTACGTTAGATGTGTCCGAGAGAGGAGATTTTTTTCAATTGTCTTCAAAGATTCTTTCATATATGATTTTGAAAAAAATATAGCTAAAAAATTAATGCCGTTTATGTTTAAGTATCGTCTCAAGCATAAATTTCCTTTTAGGAAAATTAACATGAATTTCCGTGGTCAGGAAAATATACATGTTTTTATCATAATATGTCATTCAAGGCATAAACAATTTTTTGGATAGGAATATTTCTTTTTGAACTGCCTCATGAATAATCATAAACATGTAACATGTTAACATGTTTCCTTTAAAGGAAAGGAAAAGTCGTAGCAATTTTTTTAGTTTTTTGCTAATATAATCGTAATGACAAAATGAATTAGAGGGACATACATGTAACTGAACTTGAAATTTCACAAGAAATCACTGCAAGTATGACTTTTGTACGATTATGATATAGAAAATCTGTAATTATGGTTTAAAGACTAGAAGACATCCACTATCTTCGTTTTCCCCCTGAAAAATCACACGTGTTTATAGTCTGATCATCTCTGTAGTGTTAAAACGACGGTCTCCTCAAAGTCATTCTAATGATTTCAGTTAAATACCTAACTCTTCAGTGCTCTACTGGTGAGAATGAGTTGCTCATTTCCTGTTCTAATAAGGAAGTGTGAAGGCCAAAGAGGAAAACGAGAGCTAGGTGTATCGCCACATGACATTTATTAACGAACTTCATCTGAAGTGCCATCCACTTATGGAATAATAACGATGTGTGTTTATTGTCTCAATGATCGAAGAAGAAATTACTTAATTATTAATTGATTAATCACTCTGTTTTCAGAATTTTTTTTCTCATCAATTTAGGGTCTTTCTCAATTTTTTCGCCGTCGTGATAAAAAATGATCGTGACAGAAACTAGTTTACTTCGAAGAGAAAACGTATACTAAGTAAAACATGATAAATGATTTGTCATTTCAAGAAAGACTTCTGTTTTCGTAAACATTTACTATTTTTTAATTACAATTAAAAAACAATTTGTTGTCATAAATTTAATTTCTATTCGATGTTAAATGGTGCTCAGTATTACGGAATACAACCCTTTTGGTCTCAAAAAAGACACTTTCATAACCGGTCACGAAACGTTTTTAACTCCAAAATATGTCGACTAGGTTATTAACAATAACAATTAATTACTGTTTGTTACTCCTCTAATACTAGTATACAAAATTAATTCAGGTCTATTTGTTATGAACCTTCGGTATAAATTGTTACTGTTGTCATTTTAAATACTAGAATTTAAAATGAAAACAAACATATTTTCATTCAATGCAAGTATGTTTTAAATAGCTTTCTTTAATTTTTTGTTTCCTGTATTCTACAGTATTTGTTTTCATTTATGTTGGCTGCATTTGTTTCGTGTTTTATTTTCTTCAATGTTTGTTTATATTTTCGTTGTCTTTATTTGTTTTGTGTTTTTTCCTTTGTTTGTCTTTATTTATGCTGGCTTCATTTATTTCGCGTCTTGTTTTTATTTTTCTTGGTTTCATTTGTTTTTTTGCTTTCTGCAGTGCTTGTTTTTACATGAATTTTTTGGGCTCCATTTGTATTGTGATTTATTTTTTACAGTGTTTGTATTTACTGATGTTGGCTTTATTTGTTTACTTATTTTTCTGCATTGCATTTTTTTAATCTTGTTTTTATATTGGCTTAATTTGTTTTGTGTTTTTTTTCTCATTTTTCATAGTGTTTCCTTTTGTTACCGTTGGCTTTATTAGTTTTTTGTTTTTATTTTCTATATTGTTTGTTTTTATTCGTGCTGGCTTCATCTGTTTTGTGTTTTTTTTTTGCTTTCTACAGTGATAGTCTTTACTTACGTTGGCTTCATTTTTGTATTTTCTACAGTGATTTACTGCTTGTTTTTATTGATGCTGGCTTCATTTGTTTTGTGTTTTTATTTTCTAAAGTTTGTTTTTATTTATGTTGACTTCATCAATTTTGGGTTTTATTCGTATTTTCTACAGTGCCTGTTTTTAGTTATGCTGGTTTCATTTGTTTTTTGTTTTATTTTCTACACTGTTTGTTTTTTCCCTGTTACATGTAGCTGCACATGTTTAATGTTTTATCTTCAACAGTGTTTGTTTATTTTCCTGTTAGCTTAATTGGTTTTGTGTTTTTTTTTTCTACAGATCTTGTTTTTATTCACAATTGCATAATTTGTTTTATGTTTTATTTTCTACAACTTTTTCTATCATTTATGTTCGTTTCATTTGTTTTGTGTTTTATATATTCTACAGTGTTTTATTATTTTTCTTAGCTTCATTTGTATTGTGTTTTATTTTCTACAGTTTTTGTTTATATACTGTTGGCTTCATTTGTTTTGTGTTTTATATTTTCTACAGTTTTTGTTTATATACTGTTGGCTTCATTTGTTTTGTGTTTTATATTTTCTACAGCGTTTGTTTTTATTTATCTTGGCTTCATTTAATGTGTTTTATTTTCTACAGCGTTTGTTTTCATTTGTCTTGGCTTCATTTGTTTTGTGTTTTATATTTTCTACAGTGTTAGCTTTTATTTGTCTTGGCTTCATTTGATATGTGTTTTATATTTTCTACAATGTTTGCTTTTATTTATCTTGGCTTCATTTGATGTGTTATATTTTCTACAGCATTTGTTTTTATCTGTCTTGGCTTCATTTGTTTTGTGTTTTATATTTTCTACAGCGTTAGCTTTTATTTATCTTGGCTTCATTTAATGTGTTTTATTTTCTACAGTGTTTGTTTATATTAATCTTGGCTTCTTTTGATGTGTTTTATATTTTCTACAGTGTTTGCCAACGGACAGAAACTGTTTATCAGAGACGAAGAGTGTGTGCATACAGAACATGGCTCAGGTGAGTTTTTTTTGTCTCATTTTTTGAAAACGAAGACTGATATTTGTGTAAAATGATTTGAAAAATGATAAACTATTTTTTTGCAACAATTGATTGAAGACAAAAATACTTATACTTTCTGCATCTCTTGTCTCAATAAATGTTTTTTTTTCTTCACAATTTTTTCAAAATATTCTCTGACGCTTTTCTGTATGAACATCCTAAATAAGCATTTTCCGTAAGATGTGACAAGTTATACGTCGTTTTGCTTTTTTTTTAATACTGTAAACAGGAAATTTTAGCCAAATAGGAAAGAATGACATAATCTGCCGACATCATTTAACGACTTCAAAAAATCATGTCTTAATAAGATAAAATAAAACTACAATATCTGATGTCCTTAATATATTTTTGGAAACTTGAAAATTTCTCTTATTTCTCCATCTGTAATATACAGAGACCAGGTCTCATCATTTAACGACTTCAAAAAATCATGTCTTAATATGATAAAAAAAACTACATTATCTGATGTCCCTAATATATTTTTGGAAACTTGAAAATTTTTCTTATTTCTCCGTCTGTAATATACAGAGACCAGGTCTCAGGATCACGAAGCATTTTAAGCTTAAGTAAAAAGATGTTACTGGTTCAGAAATTATTTTAAAGTTACACAGTCTAAGAAGAAAATGATTTCCAATTCTGTATCAGCAGTCTGCTGCCATATGCGAATTAAGAGTGCCATTTAACAATATTTAGATATTTTATAGATGTTTGAAATGTTGACGTAAGTCTAAGTCTGTTTCATGATCCTGGGGCCAGTATCTTCATTTTCCTAAGTTCAGACTTTTGAAAATTGACCTTTATTTCATACTAATAATGTTTTATAAAATAGTTTTACACAATACATTTGTCAAAAAACAAAATAATTTGATAGAATTTGTTCATTTTTTGTTCATTTGGTTTTAATGATATTCATGTGATTGTCCAATAGTAATATATTCCTCATTGAGTTGATGGTTTGTTTTATGATTAAACTAAGACTGAATTTTTTTGTACTTATGTATTACTTTCAAGTTAAGTATGTTCAGACACATAAAATTCTATTTGATTTTTTAGCTGTTGTTATTACCGATACGTGCTCAAGTGTGCCTATAGAAGAGTAAGCTATTGCTGTTCTGGATATAAAAATGTCGCCAACAGGTGTATTCGTAAGTACATCAGCAGAGATTCAACAACCAAAAGTTGTAATAATTACAATATATATTATATTATAAGGAGATAACGTACAGTCACCAAGCTCAAAAGTCCATTAACCAATACAAATCAGGAGCAGAGCAAACAAGGACAACCAAAACATCAGAGGTGGGATCAGGTGCCATGGAGGAGTTAGCATCCCCTGCCGACCAGTCACATCCCCCGTGTGCTCTTTGTCGGGAATTTATCAATTTCTCTATTTTTTTTTTTGAGTATCTAACAAAAAAAATTAGTTCATAAATCATAGATCTTGATTATGGCGAGGAATAGAAAACATTGATTTTAATAATGTTTGAATCTATATTTGTTACAGCTGTGTGCTTCGGACAGACAGACAGATCGGGCTGTAACAACGTAGGGACATGTGTAGCTCCAAACACGTGTAGGTGTGACTCGGGGTACTCTGGGCCACAGTGTGATAACAGTAAGATTTTATAAAATTAGATTTTAAGGTCTATTGATTCTCTCATAAGAGAGATAACTCTTAAAGACATAAATGTCTATTATTCCAATATAGATTTGCCAAGTTGAAGTGTATTTTTGTCCAATTTTGCCTCGCAGCCTATGTATAATTGTTTGAATTTTACTTATGGAATACATTTTTTTTTGGAAAATCATTAAGGTTCAAGCAACATTTTATATAAGCGAGCAGAGGGTTTATGAACCTTAAATAAAAATTATGCTCGCCTCTTTTCATTTCCATACAAAAAATGGAGCATGCGATTGATACTTTATCAGTCCTGAGATCTGGTCTATGGAATTGTATCGAAAAATCTTGAGGAAAATGATTTTGCCAAAAATAACCTATATTTTTATATATCTTGAGTGGCATCTCCGTATGAGTGAAACATTCTCGAGAGGGACGTTAAAAACATACAATGGATCATATCTTTAACGATTCGTGAACAATTTTACAAGAATATAATATTAACTAGATACGATCTCGTTGCGAGCAACGAGTGGGTCTTCCGTCCGATTCTTGATAAGATAAGATTTTGATTGATAATTTCATTCTAAAATAATGGTAAAGATTGTGAAGAAGACCGATTTTGCCTCCATAATCTGTAAACAGACATTGAACATTAAGACTTAAAAATTCGACTTTTGGCCCCTCATGGCCGCTAATATTAATCAGCAGTTAAAGCTCTCATTTTGAACACTTTTTGTTCAACAACTATTCAGAGATTCTCTTTCGTTTTCGAATTTGAAAAAGAAATATCTGTTTCAACTCCTTAATGGGGACATTTAAAAAATAAAGGTTGCATATTGAAAACATATTTTGAATATATAAATAAAAAATATTTCCCACTTTTGAATAAATGATAAAAGTTCAAAACATAATAAATAGTTTTAGATTGTTGAGATAAACATCATTGCTTCAGTAATGTATAACAAAATATTGACTGCTAAAGAGTTATCGAAAATGTACAATATGCCCACTTTTAATTGAAATTAAAAAAAAAACAACTATTCAGAATTCTCTTTAAGTTATTTGAATATTCATATATCCTTAATGGTGACATTTATAAAAATGAAAGGTTGCATATTGTTCAGAACTATATTTTCATCTTTTGTTCAACGTATAAAATATTTCCCACTTTTGAGATATAAAGCGTCACAGATTTAGCATTTTGGCCCCTTATGGCCCTTTATTATACACCATAGGACATTCAAATCATAATATATATTTGTAGTTTGTTGAGATAAACATTTTTGCTTCAGTAATGTATAACAAAATATTGACTGATTAAAAAATGGATTAAAGTTTATCTCTCGATGCCCAGTCCCTTTTTCTTGATCTCATCTTAAAGCCCTCAAGATTTTGAACACTTTTTGTTCAACAACTATTCAGGGATTCTTTTTTGTTTTCGAGTTATTTGCAAAAGAAATATTTAGGGGCCAACCCTTCAACTCCTTAATGGGGACGTTTAGCGAAAATTAAAGGTTGCATTTTTTCCATGATTTTTTGAACATTTTTGTTCCTAGAGATTTCTTTTTAAAATAATTATTTTGAAATTATTGTAAAAGATTTAGCATTTTAGCCCCTTGTGGCCCCTAATTATGTAACATATGACATAAAAATCATAATTATCAGTTGTAGATTTTCGAGATAAATATTTTTGCTTCACTAATTTATAACAAAATATTGACTGTTAAAGAGTTATCGATAAAAGACTTTTAGACCCTTTTGGCCCCTAATGTGATATACATTTTTTTCTTATACCATATTAAGAATTCTGCACAAATTTTGTTCAAATTATACTTTAAAAGATATGATGCAAAATGTCTTAAAAAAATCAGTCATGATTCGTGTCCTATATGTGTGTTTTTTTTTTCTTAGGCACTTCCGGAAAATATCATGACCCAGGTGCAACATGGCAACATGTCCTCTATCATCCCTGAAAAATTCAGCTTTCTAGCTTGAGCCGTTTTTGAGTAACGTGACAGACAAGAAGGTCCTCTAAATTTCTCAAAGGGCGATAACTCTCGACAAAAGGAATTTCCTCAAAAGGACTTGCCGGAATTAACTTCAATCAATGCATCAACCATGAAAATTTGGATAAAATCGGTAACACTGCTACAAATCCTCTGCACAAATTTTGTAAGAAGAAAAAAGAATAAAAATAATAATAAAGGGGAAAAAGAAACCGAAGAATAATAGAAGGGTCTTCCGCTGAAGACGGAAGACCCTAATAACTAGATACCATCAAGGAAGGAAGAACCCAACTTTTTCTATGTATTTGAAGTGGTTTAAAGTATTTTATTTGTAGGAATAGTACTTCTTAACCGGTTTGAACAGCAGTTAGCATGATTGTAATCGGTAGAAAAATAGGTTATCTGTTAGTCCAAAATAAATAAATAAATGAATGAAAACATAAATATATAAATAAAAAAATGAATAAATGATAAAAGTAAATTAGAGATGAGATGTGCAAATGTATAAAGAAATCAATTTAAAATGTACAAATATGAATAAATTGAAATTAAAAAAAAAACCATCAGAATTGTGTTAAGTTATAATATTCATATATCTAACCAGTTGATTTATAATGACAATGACTTAATTTTCATAAAACGTATAAAATTGTAAAGAATATTTAACGAGGCCGAGTCTAATTATTTCTACCCTAGGGATTTTGATAATTTTTCGTTAGTAAATTTTTACTGTTATATTTATGATTTTAAGATTAAAAAATCTAATGTTTATCACCCCGATTTCTTAGGGGGCCATATCAAAAATTGTCAAATTTTACTATTAGACCCCATGGGAATTTGCTGAAATAGCGCAAAATTATCACTTTTTTCCATATTTTTTGTATTTTGGCCCTAGAGATTTCTTTTTCAGTCAATTATATGAAAGTTATTGTAAAAAAAAGTCACCAAATTGCGAAATTTCAAAAAAAGTTTACCATCTAGATTGATCTAGGCCTTAATTACAAAGTTTATTTTTTCGACGAAAAATACCTCTGAATTGATATACTTCCTTAACATTAAGAATAAACCAAACTAACTTACATGCAATGTACAAAATATCTAGTATACGTTTATATGTGTGTGTTTTTTTCATAACACTGTTCTATCACTGTCATCACCCCGGTAAGTATCAATAACTGTACTGTTCTACTTCACGTGTCACCACAAGTAAGTCTCAATAGCTCCACAAATAAGCCTCAATAGCACTGCTACAATGTCATCAAGTAAGTATCAGTAACACTGCTACAATGTCATCAAGTAAGTATCAGTAACACTGCTACAATGTCATCAAGTAAGTATCAGTAACACTGCTACAATGTCATCAAGTAAGTATCAATAACACTGCTACAATGTCATCAAGTAAGTATCAATAACACTGCTACAATGTCATCAAGTAAGTATCAATAACACTGCTACAATGTCATCAAGTAAGTATCAATAACACTGCTACAATGTCGTCAAATAAGTCTCAATAGCACTGCTACAATGTCATCAAGTAAGTATCAATAACACTGCTACAATGTCATCAAGTAAGTATCAATAACACTGCTACAATGTCATCAAGTAAGTATCAATAACACTGCTACAATGTCATCAAGTAAGTATCAATAACACTGCTACAATGTCATCAAGTAAGTATCAATAACACTGCTACAATGTCATCAAGTAAGTATCAATAACACTGCTACAATGTCATCAAGTAAGTATCAATAACACTGCTACAATGTCATCAAGTAAGTATCAATAACACTGCTACAATGTCATCAAGTAAGTATCAATAACACTGCTACAATGTCATCAAGTAAGTCTCAATAACACTGCTACAATGTCATCAAGTAAGTATCAATAACACTGCTACAATGTCATCAAGTAAGTATCAATAACACTGCTACAATGTCATCAAGTAAGTATCAATAACACTGCTACAATGTCGTAAAGGAAGCCTCAATAACACTACTACAATTTACAATGCCGTTTACCAGCGTACTTGTTTATTTCATGTTTTGAACTGCTTGCAATAGCTATAAGAGCAAATAAAAATATACTCGGCATAAAAATAGGGGAGAATGAATTTAAGATAAGCCAGTTAGCAGATGACACTACATGTTTTTTAAGTGATGAAAAATCTGGAGTTGAAATATTAAATGTTATTCAAAATTTTAAGCATTGTTCTGGACTGAAAATTAATTTGAATAAAACTGAAGCAATTTGAATAGGAAGGAATAAAAATTTCAAACCAGGAATCTTGCCTGTAAAATGGTCAAAAGGTGAATTTTTTACCCTTGGTATTTGATTTAGTTCAAGTGGGGAACAAAAAGTCCTTGCAAAAAACTTAAATAGAAAATTAGATGAACTAAAAGCAACTTTGAATTTATGGAAAATGAGGAACTTAACACTTATTGGCAAAATTCTCATAGTAAAAACTTTAGCAATATCTAAAATAGTATATCATGCACAAGTACTTCCACTTCCCCCACAAATGATAAAGGAAGTGTCTAAAGAACTGAATAAATTCATATGGAATAATGAAAAGCCAAAAGTTAAAAGTTCAGTATCGTGTCAAAAAATTAATAAGGGTGGATTAGAAGTTCCTAATTTTGAAGCACAAATAAAATCATTAAAACTTGGTTGGGTTAGAAGGATGTTTAGTAATACAAAAGCAAGATGGAGGAGTACAATTCAATGTTACCTGAGGATATAGTATTAAATGATTTTATAATTAGCAAAGGTTGTTTAAATAGGTCATATGCACATTTAACATTACCACAATTTTACAGAGAAATTTTCAAACACGGACACAACTAAGATGTAATGATATTGATATTGAACCAAAATTTTTTGATAACACTGCTACAATGTCAACAAGTTAGTCTCAATAACACTGCTACAATGTCGTTATTGAATTGTATGGATCAATTTTGTTTGGTTTATAAGTAATAGTTACTTCATTGCTTGAAAACATTTAT